AGGTCCCCATTTGGGAACGGTTATGACTCCACGAGAGGTCAGCCTGCCGCCGCCGCGGAGGTGCTCTCCGCGATGCTTTCGCTATGTATTTTTTGCAATTGCATAGTTCATGAGATTTCCAACCGTCTGCTTTATACTTGCAGGTGTGAAGGCTATGAAATGAATGGGCCCGATATTCAACTACTAGTGTAAAACAACGCCCATTAACATAGAAATAATATTTAGAGAATACATCAGCAATCTACGAAAATTCTTTTCAGGGTGAATCCTTCTTTTGGCCTCAATTGTAAGATATTGTAAGGTTTAAGATTCTCGGCCAGACGGTAAAAGTAGGTCCTATTGAAGAAATACAGCAACCCGTCGAATAAGTACAGCTGCCATTCAAAAATACTGTCGTCCCATTGAATATTCTGGTTTGGAAAAATCCCAAGCAGATTCGCGTATGCCAGAACTATGTGAAGACCGGGATCTTAATCGCACGACCATGTTGCTCTCGTAAAATCAGTTGCAATCGCCGCGCGCGGCGAGGCGAGACATGGCAGCCGTGACCTCTCGTGGAGTCCTAACCTACACCCGCCATTAACAAAGCATCAATGATAGCCAAATGCCGAACTGCTATTCCGCTATTGCAATGTGCAAACCCCTGCGCCGACCAGGGCACATCACTGGATGGGGATTTTCGTTACTCCGTGCGAGCCCCCCCTCCTTTTTTAGAGACGGGTGGGAGTGGTGCGACCCCGCCCTGCTGGGAAGCGGCTTGACACGGACCGCCCCGCTGAATACGACTCTTTTCCCTTTTTCCCCGCCACGCTATTTCACCACTTTCCCAGATCTTCTCAACATCCTAAGTTCCCACCAATTTCCCGGAATTCCCCAAAAATTTTCCCACACTTCATCCGAAAATTTTGCTGTCGGAGCGGGGGAGGGTAAGGGGGGGAGAGCGGGAGGTAGTATCTACTATAAAGCAAGAAAAAAACCACAAAAAATCATGTCAGCGGGACTCTCAACTTCTCCCACTAGAAGGCCCAGAACTGTAAAAGCAGCCACGCCCCCTTCCCTTTACAGCGTCCCTGAAGCAAGGGACAAGGAAAATTAATTATCAAAAAAATTTCAGTCTACAGGGGGAGGGGGCAAAAAAAGACACTTTTCTTCCTTGACTTTCGAAGGCGCTATAAGTTACACTTTATTAACATGCGATCCTTTCTATCACCATATTGAAGAGCATATTAAATAGTATCATGATACTCCGCCACAGCCTTCTGGAGGAGCCCATCGAGAGATTCTGCCACGCGACCGTGAGTGGGTACCTGAGTTCAGCGAGATCGTTGATTTCTCCGCCACTGTAGACCACCCTATTGAACTCCGCCCGAACCGGGTAATTGAGGGGATTCAGGTCAGGTGACCTACTTGGATATTCCATCTTCTTTAGGTACCCAGCCCCTTCCATTCCAAGTAAGCGAGAGTTCTTCCAACGTCCTTCGATTCCATGTGGTGTCACCCAATCCTGTAGCAATACAAGTTTTCAAGATGGTACGGGCGACGACATGTGGGTGGATACTCTTCTCGAGTTGCTCGCGTGTAACTGCCAGCGTCACACTTCAGTAGCGAGTCACTAAGAAAGATAATCGGGTCTTTCATTTCCAGGTACTTCTGCTCCCCGACATTAACCTGCACGCCTGGCGACATTGGGAAGATGATACACTGGCACCGTTAGAGACCGTATGTCGGAGTTGCTCGATGTTGGAGGTCTTCCAGATCAAGAGTACTGGTCTCCAGGTAGCTATCCATGGGTGACTCCATACTAGAAGTTTCGCAGCTGTTTGGAGGTGACATGAATTCCAAAGGTCTTCTCCAGTCAGGCTGCGACTGGAGATGACTTCATATTTTGGTGTACATGAAGGTGATGGGCGAGGGCCAGCTCCTGCTTATCGAGGAACATCTTGGGTATCTTCCGCCCTGGTACTCGTATCCACGTCTTCTCTCTGGGCTGCGAAAACTTTGCTGATATGTGACTCGGTCGAAGTGACTTTTTTTGGCCCCTCCCTGTATATACGACCCCCCTTTCCCGGCGACCAATCCCTCACAACGATGTGCCGTGTCCCCGAAAACGCTTGCGTCCCCCCACCACTCTCCAAAACCGCCGCAAAACTCCTCGCTAGCGACAAGTGAACGGTCTCTCGGCGGTCTTTTGATTGCAACCCGTTCTCCCCCTTCCCCAAAAAGAACCTGGCGAATACCTCTCAACAAGTGTTGACGTGTAGAAACGTGGTTTGACATCTCAAGCTTCGTGTTACCTGGCAAGTGTACGACTGTATTGATTGTCCCTCAGTACATGGAGGGAACAGGAGAGGACATGTCTTTATAGGAGTACGGTTTCCTGTGAAGACATGTGCTGACAAGTAGACTCGTAAAGAGTCGACAGTGAGCATGACGTCGAACAGCGAACTGCTTTGCTCCGATGGCATTTGCACTTTTTATTTGTTTGCCAATCAATGTTCAACCCCGGTTCTGTTTTGCTTTCTATAGAACATTGCATTATTTGCAATTCTCATCAACTGTGTAAAACCCAACTGTGATCGATCAGTTCTTGATATGGCGCTGGTCCAACCCATGTCCGCAGTTCGATTCGTTGATTTTCTCATGTGTTACAACATCTGGTGCTGAAGGATGAGGATTTCCACATTCCATGGGCTAATTCTATTACACAAGGGATTTTTCAGTCTCGTGGAACGTGGTTCGCCCACCATGGAACTCCTCCCCTTCTCACGTCAAAAAGGTTTCAGAGGTGGTACTCCTGAGACATGATGTTATGGAGTGTAGACCTATATTCGACTAGTGCCATTTGCACTAGTCTTTCAGTCAGTGCGAACAAACGTCCATGTCCCAATATACCCTTTTTTCTGGGGTATAAGGCGCATTTAGGAATATACAGGTTGTACAGTCTCGTTCGCTGCGGATGCTGACTCGTTTCAGGGGAGGGGCTGGGATTGTCGCGACGTCAGCCTATTCTCCTCTAACCAGAGAAGCTGGCAGACGACCACAACTGATGGAGATCGAGCTGGCGCCGCGTCAAGCGCAGCTCCTCAAACCCTCCGCAGAGAGCAAGACTGTGCCTTCGCCTCAGATGGAGTTTTTTTGTAATTCGTCTCTCTAAGGAACCTGTTTTGAATTTCGTTTTTTTAAAAACAAGCATTCAAAGCAGTCATAGGAGATTAGGAAACATGTATAAATGGCCCTAAAAAGCCTTGGCTTATTTAGAAATTATCGCACGCTTTGTCGCGGGCATGCAAATACGGTTCAGCATTTTACGAGGCATTGAAAGCGGTATTTTATCACACGTTGTTTTCCTCCTCGCTCGTTCCCTAACCGATCACTATTGGTGGAAAAAGCTCCAGAGGCGGAGTCACTTCACCCTCCCCGACACTGCCCCTACTGATTGCGATCTTAACTATGAATGTGCCTCCACAACTACCTCCAAAAATACGGTACCTCCCTTTGTTGGGTGTGTGACAAGACAATCGTAACTCGCTGCGCTGATTGGCGTCGCGTGCGACATTGCGCCCGCAAATGGTGATGTTTCGTGGTCGTAGATGGCGACGGTAGATAATGTGTGACCAAATGTAGCCATAGTCTAATGACTTAGTTCACATGGGATAATCGACCCGAGACGAGGCAAGAGAATCGTAATTTGCCGCTCCGTCCGCGCGCGGCGATGGGCGCGGCGTTTTCTTAACTCGTGTTAACCTGTCGATGGAGCACCGGACTTCATGTAGACCCCGTCATCGTAGACATTCATGACTATTTTCGGTTCTGAATTGCCTGTTGTCGCCATCTACTACCTGGAACCATCGTCATTTGCGGGCGCGACGTCGCACGCGACGCCCACCAGCGCGGTGAATTACGATTCTCTTGTCACATACCCCAATCGACAGACTGATGCAAAACACGCATGACCGTCGCGTGCGACGTCGCGTCCGCAAATGACGATGGTTCCAGGTAGTAGATGGCGACAACAGGCAATTCAGAATCATGAATGTCTACGATGACGGGGTCTACA